CTCTCTCTCTCTCTCTCTCTCTCTCTCTCTCTCTAATTTCGCAAATTATATGTGTTATCGCGACGACATCAAAATGATATCATGTTAGGACGTTTCCAAATGGAGAATTAAGGAAGACCAAAATATGACGTCATAACATCGGTTAGTCAATTTTTGGTCACTTGACGTCATTCGTGACCAGAATATGACGTCAAAATGTGTGTTTACTACCTGGGAATGTAAAGGACCAAGACATAACGTCAAAATGACGGCTCACCGATGACGTCAATCGTCTATGACATTCGAACGTCAATTTGACTATATTAAGACGTCAGTAATGGTCAGTAAAGGCCCAAAATATGATGTCAAAATGACAAACTTTGCTACCTGGGATGGGTTGCGCTCGAAAACGTCCCCTGTCGGCGCGAATGAGGTTACTTAGGGATGCGTTGGTGGGGGTAATTGGGAACTTAGGGAATTGTTGGTTTTCGAACGACTACTTATATTGGACGGCATCTTTCTCTCTTTTTCTGCTAAACTCATACTACCTCATGTGGAAGTTATTCCTTCCACCATGCATTACCGAGATACCATCTTCTGATCCCTACTGTGGCGAGATAGGGAGAAATAGTTACTCTCGAAGTGATTCGGCGGTGTGTTTTCGAACGCAACGATCAAAGTCCATCGAGAGTATCGAAGTATTTTCGAACGATCCTCGGGAGGATCGAGGCACTTAGGTGATGTTTTCGAACACAGTCCTGAGCGGTCGACTCGTGATCCGGATTCGATTCCGCCTACGCCTCACCAAAGACATAGAGAATGGACTGCGCGATCCGTATGTCAAAATGGTCGATAAAGGTAAGACAGAGGGACCATGGAAGACGGCCAATCTTTATCACTTTCCATTCAACAGTATAAGGGGAGAGAGAATGAGATGAAGATTAGCTGTCTTCTACAGTCCCTCTCTCTCATTAATGTCGACCACATTTGAATACTATAGGCTACGTTTACACCGTGCATTTAGGCCGCGGCCTATAGAATAGATGTCCTTGTTTATCCTGTAGGTTAAACAAAGATACCTATCGTATAGATCGCGTGCCTATTTTCTATGTCTTTAGAAATTATTTATGAAATCAGGCTTCATGTTCGACGACAAAATGTTGTATATATGTATATTACAGAAATAAATTATGTTGACTATAAACAACCAAAATATATTATTACAATTATTTGGTACTTTCAACAAAATAAAATTGAAGAAGAATCAAAAAAGGAAATCAAATTTTGTTGTCGCAACAAAATGTTTGTTACGACAATAAAATTCAAGTTAACAAAATAATTTGGAATTCTCAACAAAATAAAATGTTGGTCATATATTGACAAACGAATTTTGTTATCGCAACAAAATTTTTATTGTGACAACAAAACGTTTTTCTGAATGTACAAATGATCGTACATCTTACAGTATATAAAATTATAAAACATCATCAGTCATAAGTTCTTATATATCTTACGAGAACAGATTATGAGTTTACGATTCTGCTTAGAATTGATTCATAATTAAGTCAGGACTTGTTAAGAGACATAGGGCTGTATATCCCAGAAACGGTTGAGCTTTCGACATGTTCACTAAGGATTTTTTACTTATATAAGTCATATGCCAGTATGGTGTGTACTGTCTACCTATTATATATAAATGCTGAATGATCTTTTAAACATCCTTTATAAATAATGTTACGTACGTCCAACTCGCAGAGACGCACTCCCGGTCCGGAAATGAAGAACACGAATATTATGAAAAGAAAAGTTTATTGATGAATGAACACACACGCAGAATTCAGAACACAGCGATCGATCAGTATAGAAGCGGATCGAGAGACACGTCCGAGCGCAGCGACTCACAAAAAGAATCTGAAGATCTTGTTATCAGACAGCTGAAACGCTCGGCGGACAACATGACTTTCGATACTTTACGGGTGGCGATCTTCGGCGTAAAACGGGTGTCGGTACGACACGGACATAACACTAATATTAATTTGATTTATAGCTTATATTATTTATCATAGTGCTATATTAAACACATATTTTTAAAACAACAAACGTCAAATTAATTGATTAATGTTGAATATAAATAATTCTTGATTACTATTAATATCTTAGAATATTGCTTCTAAGACTTTTATCGGTACTTTCTATACAAAAGCTATACGATTTGCGAGTTATTTCAGTGTCCAAATCTATAATGTATTGTTACACCACATTGGAGAATTTGTGTATATTAATCATATGCGAATATTACTCATTTCATATGTCCCAAACGGTCCACTCAAATTTTTGTGTTCTTTTAACATAATAAGATGAATATATTAGAAAACACAGATATTGTATTAAAAAAATTATTATAAAAAGGTATTGCTGACACAGTTTGTAAATAAAGTGTGGAGGTATATATTTTTAGTATAATTAACATTTATGATATGTTAAATTAACACGTATTTCATTAATTCATCTTAGAATTTATGTTTTAAAACACATTATTTTTACGTTACTTGTTCATTTATTAAAAAATTGTATCATTTTGACATCAAGAAACGTTGAATATTAATTTAACACAAAATCCTTAAATAACATAATCTGTATTATGTTAAATTACATTCGAATCCCATACAGCACCAAACTTCTAAAGACGTTCATAGAATATTTTAAGATTGTAGAAATATTCTTAGAACATTCATATGTATTCTATTAATATCGTATGCTATCTGGGATATGTTAAAAAATTCAACACAAACAGGACCGTTTTCAACACAAACATATAATATCATAGGCACGGACTTACGAAAAATATCGGGGGAGCACCAAGAAATATTAGGGGGGAACACAACAATATCTACTTTTTTGCGGTGCTACTGATAGAAATAAATCGCTGAAATAATTAAAATCTATCAAATTAGTGAAAATTTTAACGATTTTAACGATTTATTTCCATCAAGAACATCGCAAAAAAAAAAAATAAATAATGTTGTGTAGTTGACATCCACTTCTTCAGAAGACTGTAGTGCACAAGGTATTTTGCGGTTACAGGAAAAAGGCACTCATGTCCTCTCTCAGGTTTCTCTCTGGTACGTGTATATGCAAGTACACTAGGGATTCCTCCCAGGGGCATGTTCAATTCCCACCTGGGTGTCATATCATCCTTGTTGTTTAACAAACGTTAAACAAGGATGAAATGACATCAGAGGAGCACTAATGGAAATCAAAACACGCCTCAACAAGCGATTCACAATCAGTACAACACAATAATCATCTCATCCTTGTTTAACATTGGCGAACAACAAAAATGTAATGATACACTATGTCACACCGTGTCATTACACCATCTCTTGTTGGAAGGCACCTTAGGACAGCAGACGACGTGTCAGCGCGAGCATTACCACTTTTAATTCGCCGCGTCAACGTTATGTATAACATGTCATGTGGATATTTTCTCACAGTTTTGATCGCAGAAATTATTTGCAATTAAATAAATTATTAATATAGCTCAATCAGAATAAATCAATAAATAAAAGTAGGGCTACGAGCCAGTTACAATATAAAGAATATTTAATAATCATACAAACGTTTCGACACCGATCGGGTCATTTTCAATGTAAACACAAACAATTACATAAATTGTCGGAGTATTCGGTCAGATTATAATATCCAGTAAAACACGTCGGTTATTTCCATATTCCCTATTATTATATAGATACGTGCGGTCCATATGTATGCAAAAGCATCACTTGACTGATGTAAAAGTAATCTCATCTCACTTTTCAAAAATCTACAATATATATATATATATACACACTTTAATTTGTTGTAATGTTGTGAATCAGACACCGAAAGAAAAACGCAAAATTAACTAAGTCATAATAAAAGGTAAGTCATAATACGATATATTGGAGAGAACACATGTATCCTCGACGATGTAAGGCGACGTTAATACATTTTATTTGCAATTGTTAAAACACTGTTTGTTAAAAAACCAAAAGGTAAAAATTATTGAGGGGGCATTGTCCCCCCAATAGAATTATTGGGAAGGGGGGGGCAAAAAGTGGTCTGCCCCCAGTAGTCGGCGCCTATGTATAATATACAATGTTTTTTATATCAGAGTGTTCTTCGCGCTGATAAAGTGAACTGTAACTCTGCAACTCGAGATCTTGTTTAAAAGAACACGATAGTGGATTTGTAAATCATCGCTTGATTTAGCGCCGAGAAAAGAAGGAAATCAACAAAACATAATTACGTTATTATTATGTAAATTTTTATTTTTTACAGCAAATATATAAAAGTATTAAAGTAGAGTTATCGACAGATTAATAATTTACGTCATGAAGTATTTTATACTTTATTCTAGCACATTTTGATATGAAATATAAAATATTTCGTAAACTTTCATTTTTTGGTAACTGTATCTTAATATTTTTATACATAAGTAATGAAATAAATCAATTGACGTGAAAAAAACATATAATAGGGAAAG